GATTGAAAGAGTATTTCCTGCTAATCGTATGTACGTCAGTAAAAAGTACAAGACGCTTACTGTGAATGCCCATTTGATTGGAAAATCTGAAGCTATTGCAAACAATGTATGGATCCAATGGTGTGCGCTTACCGGAGTATACCTACCTAACTTTAATTAAACATTTAAAAGTTTTGTTATTAGGGGTACTTCTTTAGTTGCACACCCACAACTTTGCTTTTCCAACATTTTCCGCAGAATTGACTTCATGTGATAGGCTCTGTAAAATCTGTCCATTTCATAGACCAAAACAGTTATTATCTGAAGAATTAAATAACATAAAAAAAGTTTTATGGGGAATGGTTTGTGTTTCGAATTTCCTTTAATGATTGACCCCATTGTGTGATAATCAATACCAAGATGGACCTCAACAATTATACATAAAAATAATATTATTTATAACTGTTGGCTACAGTACACGAGGTGTCTAGTATTAAAAACAAGGAAATTTATTTTGGAGTGAAATCATATTCATTTACTCGCTCAGAATATGGGAGTATTATGAGACACTAGTCTTTAGTGTTTACCTGAGCTAAGAGGTTTTGGAGTTGAATATTGTAGAATGCATAAACATTTTATTGAAGTTATCCGTTGGGTTTAAATACCTCACTAATCAATGTCATCAATGGATCGTGAATGTTTCTCTTAATTTGGCTCTTCAATGGCACTCTATGATGAAGCATGATTTAGCAATTCTTTCTTTGTGTAAATCACAGCAGTATCTCATTTATTCAACAATATTGTACTATTCCTGTGCTTTTTATTTTTCAATAACTAATGTTTTTCTTATAACTTAATAATAATAATGGCCTTTATTCACATTCCGTTAAAAAAAAACGCAACTAAAATAATATATAAACATGTACCAAGAAAAGAAGAATCGAATTTATGAACCGCAGTGAATGGGCGAAGTTCAGATTAAAATATCTGCTTTTACACTTTACCCACAACACATATATGTATACATTTATTTATGATGGCGAATGAGAATTCTAAGTTATAAAATTTAAAGAGAAAAAAAAATTCACTTCTGTAGCGTACAAGTATCCAAAAAAAAAATAAAAATAATAATAATAAAAAATAGAACAATACAAGTAATCAAATTTTAATTAATTATCACATACATTGACTCTCAAATAACTACTTTTTTGTTTTTATTTTGAATCCCAACAAAGATACATTTTTGAAAGAGTCCGGTAGAGCGTTGTAGTGTTTAGCTATGTAGTAGGAGAAGCATTTTTCAAATGAGCTATATTTATGTAAAGGAGTAGTTAGAAGTCCTTTATTCCGAATGTTAATATTATGCACGTCCGTACGGTATCTCACTTTATTATATAAGTACTGAGGCGATTGTATTAATAACACTCGATGTAAACACAAAAAGTGTAGCAACCGACGGTTAGCCATATTAAGCCAATTCAGCTCTTTAAGTTTGAGGGAAACGTGGTCATACTTTCTCAAGCCAAAAATATACCGTATACATGCGTTTTGTACACGTTGAATTCTATTCCTGTCTGCGACATCCAAACAAGGTCCATACACTCAGTCAGCATAATTAAAATGTGATAACACTAGTGCATTTACTAGTCGGACTCTAGTGTCAAAATTAAAACTATACCGATATCTGTATAAAACTTTGAGTTTGCTAAATGCTCGTTGAATACATATAGCTATGTGCTTTTTAAAACGCAATTCATTATCCATAACCAACCCTAAATTTTAATTAAACTTGTAAGGGTGTGGCCCCTTTAGAATTTCAAAAGTATTTTTTTGAATTTGTATTTTATTAAACATAAGAAAATATACACATATACCGCTTCCTAGCGAAAATGAACACAACTATGTCAAGCGAATGGGGGAAAAAGGGTGGTTGCCACGTTCTCTTCGAACCTAAGACTTTTTTCTACTAAACCTTGCACTCACACACACACACACACACAGAAGTGGTGCAAAAAGTCAACTTTATTCAACTGATATAAACAAGTTGTAAATCAGTATATGCATGATTAAAGCGCATTTTTGGTAATACAGGTCAGCACTTGATTAGCGAAGTTTAAAATTATCGATCTCAAGAGTAATTTTTGCTGCGTTAAATAACTAATTTTATTTAATTTCAATTGAGGGTACGTCTTTATTTTGTAAAACAAATAACAAAGTAAATAATTAAGTTTTTATACTGGTAGCGCTATCTAACGGTAAAATTATAGCACCTCCGGAAACCACATCGAAATTATTTTCTTCAATTACGATCTCACAAGTAATCTAACTCAAAATAGACTAGAGCCTGCACATCTACACTATAGCAAAAAGCTTTTAGTGAAAATTTGAAGTCCCTAGCTATTGTAGTTGCTAAGATCCCACTCGGACAGCCGGCCAGCCAGCCATAAGGAATATAATAGCGTATTTTTTTTCAAAAACGCGTTAAAAATAATGTTACCCACTTTCTTGCAAAATTACGCCGACGACTAGCTTAGTAAAACCTTTTTCCTTAGCTACAAAATGAAAATCATTACACTTCTGGTTCACTTGATCTAAATCTAAATTTCAAATTCTATCTTCATTTACAGGCTCTTTTTAATAATAGCATATATTCTACGTCAAATTTAAGTACTGAGCTTGTACCAAATAATTAAAGTGGACACTTTCTTTGAGCTAAACTTAAAGCTTCCTTGATCAAATAATACAGATATGCCTTTTACTAGCAATGTACTAGCATTCACAGTCTTAATAATCATTTGAAACAAGCTGGATGAATGTCGTTATTAATACTAAATTTAATGGAAAGCTTTACCTTCCTCTATCTGGGGCCACAGATGAAAAACTTTATACAATGAAATCCATTTTTGATTTTTAAAATATTATAAAGTAAATAACCAAATCTTTACGAGGTTTCACTTACTGTTTAACTGATAAAAATCCGAATTTCCAATACCCCTTAACGCTAATTTCGCACGAAATAAGAGTATTTTGCGGTAATTCACAGGTGCACGAATTAACTGCGCTGACAGCTTCCCGTTAATCGCCCTTTGGAAAACATGATAATAATACGTATATTGTAAAGTAACGGCTAATTTACATATTGATGTACCATTGTCCAGCTGCTATAATGGTCCCCATTTTGAACGCATTGCGAATAATCTGAGTTCTTCAATTTCCGAAAGTGTGCTAAACATTTTCACGGTAGGTACTGTGTATGATCGCGACTTGAGTAGTTAGAATAGGGATGTTGTAAGAAAGACCAAATGGTGCAGTTCAAAGGAAGTGAAACGTTACGTTAATTTCATATGCAAACTAAAACCCCTATTTTTAGGGGAAGTTTCCGAAAGAAAGACATTTCCCTTATGCGATGGTTTTTTAGAGAAATTTATGGAAAGAACAAAAATTCCCCTTATGTGATGCCTTTGTCCGTCTGTCCGTCTGTTCCTCGTCTAACTCGATAACGAAAAGAAGCAGCGATGCCAACTCTTTAGTTTGCCAATCGATTTTTTACGGGTTCAAGGATCAATGCTATTGAATATGTGCCAGATTAAAAGTCTGCTTTCCCAATACGAGCTGAGTCGCAAAAAATTCCCCTGCTTACTGAAAATCGTATACGATTCTTCGTATCTTGTTTAATTCAATAGCTATTTGCGTAATCACAAAAAGTGCTAAAAGGAAAAAACACGCCGTAAGTCAACAGAAATGTGCTAAAAATACTAGAAAGTGTAAATATGGTAATTTTTTTGTGTAAGCGCCCCCAAGCGCGTCGCCGAATAGACTAGGTATGCTGGTTTGTTTGCACATTAATATTGGCTCGCATCTTCCGAACCGGTCTTCTACAAAAACATCCAACACGGTATGCAATAAAGTAAATGAAGGATGAATTTTAAATGAGAAAAAGGTAATATTAAATGTTTGGAGTTTGGTACATGTATTTCCGGTTACCATGTGGTTTCTTTATTTGCAAACCTCCACTCAGGATTATTAAGCGATGCAAGCTTTATAGAGGAGTCGATGGTCCGTCTGTTCGTCCGTCCGTCCGTGAACACGATACACGCTTGGACTGATCATTTTACTACCCGAAAGACGACTGCGTACAGAATATACTTATGGATGCGGTGGTGTAGAAGGTAAGGTTATAAAGAGAAATAGAGGAGAAAACGAGGAAACAAATGGGACTGAGGAAAGGGAGAGGAACGATTGATTGTATACATGTGCTACACAGACTGGTTGAAAAAGAATTGGAAATAAATAAATAAATTGGATATAAAGGCAGCTTTTGACAAAGTAGAAAGGGAAAAAATATGGGAAATGATCGATGAGGGTGGGAAAATAGAGCAAAATCAAGGAGCTATTTGGAGAAAGAAGAAGTCTCAAGTGTTCTGGACAGTAAAAGGACTGAGACGGGGATGTTGAACCTTATTTAATTTTTACATAACAGATATGGAGCAAATGAAGACATTGATGAAAAGATGGGCAAGGTACTGGGACAAGAATGGAATGGATTTAAATGTCGAAAAATCGAAGATGATAAGATTGGGAGGAGGGGAGAAAGGAAAAGGGCGGTAGAATGGTAGTGGACGAAGGAAAGGGTGGAGAAGGTAAGACAATTTAAATATTTGTGGTCCCTACCAAATGCAACAAAATACTGGGACAAACGCACAAATATGGGAATTAAGAAGGAATGCAAAGAAGGTATTACAAATTCTGGGACTAATGGGAAGGACACCAGATTAAGTACCTAACGGGCGATCAAAAATAAGTTGCTGTCGAAAAAAACAAAAAGTTCCACGTTGGTGTTCAGATGCAAAAGAATCAAACATTTTTAAGTTTGACTAGCTAGACCACACACTGCGCGTACTTTCTATGAATAAAACATGTATGCAAATATTAAGGTGACAAATTCCACGTGAACAACAAAGCGTTCAATAAATAATTCCACCAAACTTTCCGCATTTTTTGCCGTCTTGAGCCGATGGCGACCAAAAACGGGGCGTTTTTCCAGCACGGCTAAAAACGCGGATATAAAACGAAATAATAAGAAAATGAATGATCGCAATTAGGTAATTGAATCGGAATCTCGTTTAGTTTCCAATGCGCTTCGGGCGGTGCGATTCACAAAACAAAGATTTTGGATTTTCCGAAATATAATAATTTGTATATATTTGTACAGTGAAGTAGGTTATGTTGAGTGGTATGAGTAAGGTCATAAGTGGTCAGTTCTGTGCAGTAACACTTGTTCCGTGAACGTGCTGTTGTTTATTACAATTTGTTATTAACGTTAGGTATTCAGTTATAATTGCGGAAAGTGTTTGGTGTTTCGTTGCAGTTGCCTCCTTATTAAATTTTTGATAAAAACAAGTAAGTTATTCGATAATTACTTTTTAATGTCACGGATAGTAGTCATTCTGGTTTACATTTATCACATTCTGATAATGGTGATTACTTCATACTCGATTTGCGCCTTAATTTCAATTTTGCCAATTGGAGTTGAAGTTCATTGCCAAAGGAGTTTAGAATCAAGAGTGCAATAATTATTGCTTATTAATTCACGATTGTATTGATTAATAATATCCACGTGCTTAATTTCCTTTAATTATAAACAAATACAAGTAGGTCGAAAATGGCGCGCAAACGATTAACGTCAACCCTTGAACTCATTTTTGGTAATCTAATGCTGGAAAATTAAATTGAGTAATGCGTGTAGACCAAATCTGTACCTATAAGCGGTTTATTGGCTGAGAAACCACATTTACAGTCGCAAGTCATGACCACATTTTCCAAAAACTAGGGAAATGTTTTCCTGTCAATTTTGATTAGGGATTCCCGCGCTCTTTTGAGTCATACTCCAATATAATACGTTTCGGTACCATTAGATTTAGTCAAAAGATACCTTTTAGCATTTCTGAATGTCACTTTCGCAAAGTTGGAATTTGGCCTGTATTTAGATTATAGTACACAAAAAGTAACTAATATCTAAGTGTATTATAGCTCTAGCTCAATTAAACTTAACCTAATGAAGACGGAAACATGTTGTATACACAATAAATATCAAGTTTTATTTTCAATTACATAATATCTTCGTGACAACTAATTAATGTAATCGAGAAACCCATGTCCTCCCATATTTTAAATTATAATACTCACTGTAAAAATCCTTGCATTTTATTTATTACGTTTCGAACACTATAACTTAGGATAGCTATCTTCGCATTTTTAAAGTGCACCCTTACCTCAATCCTAAATTCGTTTGCTCCTTGCAAGTTTTAAATGTGCAACCCTTTAGCACACACAAAAATACAAGAAAAAAGTAATCGCTGTAATCGTATTGCATTTCCCATGAACTCCGATCCCAACTTTTATTTATACATACTGTGCTCAAAAATTTCCTTGCATTTGGAATATTTATTACGTATTCGATCACTATAATTAGGATAGCTATCTTTTTTCTATTTGCAAAGTTGTGCAACCCTATACCTAATCCTAAATCGTTTGCTTATTGCAAGTTTGAATGTGCAACCCTTTAGCACACACAAAAATATAGGCTCAATTTGAGCGCTCTTTTCGCTTTGCATGTAAAACGTATGAATGTTAAAGTACTTTTATTAATACAGGGTGCAATCATTAACTATATTATACTACAATAACATCGGTAAATATCGATCAAAATGTGAATGACAAAATGTTTATCTTATGTTAACATTTATACAGATTATGCTACATATATATCTCGGTAAATATCGAATGTATACAAAATTTTTCTATTTGAAAGTTGTTTAACATTTTATTTCCCATAATAAGGCAGCAGTCAGTTGGTTTTATTCAGAAAACAAATGAATAACGAAAATAAATGGCAGTGCACCTTTTCATTAGGCTCATTTTTTTTCTCTTTTCGATAATGTAACATGTTAGTATCCTAATACAAGAAAATTTTTCAAAAAAACTTATTATAATCACATCAATAACATTAATCTAGATATCCTGCATCAAAATAAAACAAATGAATGTGTATGTTTGTTACCATTTTATTGCTAATTTCATTTGATCTTCAAGGTTTAATAAGAAATGTACACGTTCATTTGTTTTATTTTGATGTAGGATATATAGATTAACGTTATTGATGTGATTATAATGATTTTTTTGAAAAACTAACATGTTACATCATCGAAAAGAGAAAAAAAATATGTACATATACTATATTCCATACATAATGGACACCCTGTATACAATCTAACTTAACTAACACTGCATGTAAGTACATACTACACATTCAGCATGCATATTATCATTGTACAATACGTTTAAACAATATACAAAATTAAGGTTGGGTATATTATATACATACGTCTTATGTATCATGTTAATGTCTAAATGAATGTTCGAATAGTATCATTATTGTAGTGAATAATGGATCAGTACTGTTTGTAAACATTACGACAGAATTTTAGAGTGCAATACATATGTTTTTCGGCTGAAGCTAAGGTATTTTGAACAGTTTTTAGCCCGGTACGCTTTTTCTGCTTTGTTGAAAAATTAATAAAGACCGCAATGAAATTCTGATGTGTTGCCCTCCGAAATTAGTATGGGGAATGGAACTAGAATTGTATTTAGTGGTAGAAGTCAATAGAATTATAGCACAGGAATTACTAGAAATAGTGATATTGCAACAGGAGATGAAAAATGTTCTATTATGTGGATCAAAAAAGTCCACTAGACGAAATTTGAAAAAACTCTGCAAAACTTTCTCGAAAACTTCGCTCTTTATGAGTTGTAAAAGTGAACTTGTCGTGAAAGTAGCCTAAGAGTGGACGGACATGCCTTAATCTAAAGGCTTGGAATATTTCGGTGAAATATGTCTGCCAAGAAGCACCAAAAATTAGATTTTTCTGCGATAGAGGATGAAATAATCTTCCCTTATACGCAAAGAAATTGAAAAGTTACAAGGGCATCAAGCCACTTGTTAATAACGCAGATACACATCATCATCATCAACCTATATGGATTCTGGATTACGATAGAAGGGTGGACTACTCCCTGACTAGAGTCGTCCGACCCGTCAAAGACACTCACCTTCTCACATGGCTACATTGCCTAGTGGTTGGGTGATATGGAGGTTCAGCTGTTATTTTAAGTAAAATTCAGTGCCTGTTCCTTCCATTGTTTTAGATACATCCATGCAGATGATTATGTCTGGTTGGGATAACTATGATTCAGCCACTGCGCAATCCCGCCTTTCATGACTTATGTCACGCCGTGGTGGCGTAAATGTTAAGTTCAGAAAACATCTCAAAGTTCTTTATCTGTTCGACGCATAGGAGGTTGAGACTCGGGTGAAGACTAGCGACACACACTCTTTATGGATGGTGTAGGTGACTTTTGCCCATTTTGCCGTCATCGATCGCCAGATAGTTCAAATTTAATGGAGATCGGAATTTTCTTTTCGCGCCGTCTTAGTGCAGAAATTTAAGTTTTAATAAAATTGGAAAGAAGTCCGTAAAACCTAGATAAATCCATACGTTTCCATTGCTCTATTCCTTGTCCGCAGGGAATAAAATTAAATGAGACCATAGTTCCCAACAGAAACGTTTTGAACTTGTAGTTCATTTGGAAATTTTTGGTTTGTTCTTTTCTAAGTAATAAATAAGTTTGACCACCATATGGATAAACCTAAAACAATAATCATTTGGAATTTTTAATAAAAAGGCCCTGAAAGTATAATTAAGCAGAAGGATTGTAAAATACCAGTACACAACTCGAAATTTCCAGAAACAATTTTGGGGATTACCACAAAATTATGAATATTAAGAATCACTGAAATTACAATAAATTATTGATGGTTGTACCCCAAAATTACTAAGTGGCAAACCCCTCGATGAGTACTTGAATGGAAGAATCTTTTGCCTGAATTTCTTTCAACGACGATATCTAAACGAAATTGTTTGGTCTTTTCGTGTAAACTTAAAACAATACGATTCAACCTGGATTCGACAAAGGGGTTGAAATTGCTTCGTACAGTATACTGCATAGATTGCCAGATTGAACTCTAGAAAATGGAATTCGGTGAGTTCTGGAGACGTGATGCGCAACAGAAGTAATTGTGATTAGAGGGAAACAGGAAACTTACGAACGAGGTTTACAGGGTGCTTTTCAAGGATTGTAGATCATATTAAATGTTGCAATTGATTTATCGAGGAACAATGCCATCTCGTGGAACAATTCCCTTTAACTGGTACTGGGATATGCTTCATGTAAAAGCGATAAAAGCATGATAGACACAACAGTCCGACTAAACCTCTTCGTAAACGTAATACTGAACTGACTTCTTCTACAAAAACTGGCAAGGTGAACAAATCTAATCACCAAAACAATAAGCGACTACGTAAAAAACAACGATTAACGTCTATCACCAAACAAGCCACGATTAACGTCCGTCCCTTCTATTTAAAACAAATTCTCTTTCTGTTCCACTTCCAACTGCATCTTCGAATAAATTAAATACCGGCGAAAAAACATCTGCGATAACTTCTGCGTATCTTGAAAATAATTATCCGCCGAAGCGCTAACGTTCTTATCGCAAGGACTGGAGATAACATTTTTACGAAAGAATAAACATAACTTTTTATCACATAATTTCTTTACAATTAACTAATTCAACTAATATGATCGAATCTTGTGTCCAATCTCGAATTACAATCAACTTCTAGCGTTAAAAATAATTGAAAGTCACGTACAAGAGGACCCATCGTTATTTTAGGTGCTGAAGTCAAACAAAACGTCCGCTTGCTGAAGTTTATATAACAATACGTTCCTGCAATCTTTAAAAAACCTCCTCAGGTAAACTTCGCCTCCTGAAGAGTAGTTCGCATTGTTATTTCGTCACTGATTTACATTATTCTTGATTGACTTTTCTACTAAATTTGATTCAAAAACTTTCCCTCTGGGTAGTTTCAAAATAAATTTTGAATTTACTGAAGTCCTGAAAATTACAAACGAATAAAAAAATAATTGTGCGTTATATATTAGAGAAAATTTGACTTTTTTGTTTAAAACAAAATCGAAAATTAGATTTCTGGATTTATAAACCTCTTTTGTTTCAGGTAACAAAATGCGCTTTGCCACGGCGATCTTTTGCTTATTACTTGTGAGAGCCACTCCTCAAAAAACGTTGCCAAATGTACAGCAACGTTTCGGTGTCGCGATCGAAGCAATCTTTGGGGTTGGAATACGCTTGCAAGTGCTGTTGGATGATCCAAGTACAGAATCCCAAAGAAATTTCTTAGTTTCGCCTTTGAGTGCGACTTTACTACTATCTCAACTGATGCTAGGCGCCGATCAGGATTTTAGGATCGAATTGCACAATCTCTTATCTTTACCCAACAATACCGACCACAACCAGGCGATGATTAAGTATTATGGACACCATGGAAACAAGACCTTTAAGCTCCCTTACGCGAAATTACATTCACAAATGGGAAATCTTATTAGAGAGCTTAACAAGAGGGACCATACAAAGTCGTTCGTGCTGAACTGCAGCAGCGGACTCTTTTATAACTCACAGTTTAAGTTACTGGATAATTTTAAGCACAACCTCCACATTTACGAAACGGCACTTCAGCCTTTGAACTTTTCAACCGATCCCACCACGTCTAGAAGGGTTATAAACGACTGGGCAGCCGAACAAACTAGGGGAGTCATTAAGTCAATATTACCAGCTACTTTGCCTCGAACTACGGCAGCCATTTTTAGCAATGCCATATATTTCAAAGCAGACTGGGAAACGCCGTTCAGTTACGAATTAAACACCATAGCTCCATTCCATACAGGTCCACAGCAAACCGTCAACGTCGAATACATGCAGGGCATTTTCGATAACCTGCTCTACGTCGAAAGCTCAGAATTGCGCTGCAGAATTGTTAGGTTACCGTACAAAAATGACGAAGTGGCAATGTATTTCATCCTGCCAACCCCTGACGACGGCAAGGAATACAATATCCGCAAGTTCACGGCCGACTTAAATCCCAAGGACGTAATTCAGCTTTTGGCACAAATGAAAAAGTCTAAAGTTGCACTTCAAGTTCCCAAATTTAAGATAGTGAACAATTTAAGCGTATTAGATCCCTTGCAGAGGTATCGCGTGTTCGAAAGGTTATACAGAAATGTGTTGAAGACGAAGGCTCAAGGTGGTGATCCGGTCGATATAATTCAAAACAGAATTGATCTATACAACGCTCTAAGGACGACCGAAAAGGTCGACATAGCACTAAACGAGGCGGCCGAACAACCAGTTAAAATTTCGAACATTTTCCAACAGGTGAGCCTCTCGGTGGACGAAAAGGGCACGGAGGCTGCGGCGATAAGTGCAAGTGTTATTGACTATATTGGCGGTACAAAGTCATTTAGGCTGGAGAGGCCTTTTTCGTTCCTCATAGAGCACGAACCCACATCGGTCGCGTTATTTTGGGGCACCCTTGCCGATCCCACGCAAATTATGCAGCTTTAACTTATTTGGTAGTTCCTTAAAAATAGATTTAGCACTAATTGGTACTGTAATTTATTTATAGTTTATAATTGGTTCGCATTGTTTGTACTTCTTAATGAAAAATGCAATTATTCATTCATTAAGGCGGCGAATGTGAACTTTTACGATGAATAGAACAACTAATTCAAGAAAACTGGCCTTTTTTTCAACAATGGTAAAAATTACCATTTACCTTTCAAAAAACACTATGGTATTAGTGTCACGTGGATACGAGAATGATGGTGTTTTGGTATTAAGTTGGACCCCCAACGGAAAATTTTGATTTTCTTGTAAACGATAGGCGCACAAAATTATCACAACCTTAGCACTATATTTTGGCGATGTAACAAAGTGGGGTGCCGATTTAGGGGTTCTCATTTAACCCAGTACCACTTATTGGTATTACTATTCAAATAAGTAATACAAACCTCTGTCATATCTCGCCATTATTTTGATGTTTTTTCTTCCCCGTCTTAGGCATTTCGACACCTACTCCCTTATAAGTTCCTTGTTTCCTTCAAGGTTTCCTCATGAGTTCTCGATTTTCTCTCTTTGTTGTTGTACTTGTATATTCCTTTTCGAAGTTCATCTTCCATCCGTTCCCTTATTTCTCTCCTTCCTTCTATCTTTGCCCATCCTTATCAATTTCTGTCATAATTTTTTTTCGTTCTTCCCCTCAATTTCTTTTTGCGTTCATCATTGTTCACAAACATTCCTTCATCAATTCATTTTTTCTCTCCTTCCTTCGAATCTTACCATCATGCGTCCCAACGCTATCCTTATACTGGTATTCTCCTTTTTTGTTTACTCTTCCAACCCCATATCTTCCCTTCATTCATCAAAATCCCTCCCACCATTCCACCAAAAAGATGTTTTTCATTCTAAACTCGTATTTTAATTTCTTCGTTCCTATTGCCCACGCCTTTTTCATTGCCACCTCCACCTGTTTTCTTAGTTCGCTTATTAGAGCATTTTCTTCATTATTTCGCTGCATCTGGGACCGTAAGTATTAAATTTCTCCGACTTCTTCTACTCTTTCCTCGCTCCATTTCAGTCTGTAATTGAGCCCAAGCCTGTTAAGGGCCCAGAACAAGAGAGGGATATTAAATAAATAAATGTTATCTTTCTTTTTCCCCCCCCCCCCCCACCTTTTCTAAATAGAATCATATTCTTACCCTAATTCTTGTCTCTCCATATATTTTGGCGATTCTATCCAACTCATTGTCTATTTTCCCGTAGTCCATCATTTTCCATACCTTTTCCCTTTCTACTCTGTCAAACTTTTCTTTAAATCCATGAAAAACGCTATCACTTTTCCGCCCTATTTTGTATTTCTTTTGCACCAGTCTGCGTAGTACATATTTACAGTCGATTATTCCCCTCCCTTTTCTGAATCATATTTGCGTTTTTTATAACATGCTCCTCTTCTATTTCTCTTTCTAACCTTTCATACTATACCATCGCATGTACCTATTTTGTACGCCGTTGCCATGATCGTGATTCCCGTATAATGTTCCATACAGACTGTAAAGACTATGACTGAGTTTGTGAATCGGCACTATCACCTCTTCCTCTTCCCACAGCCCACCTCTTTTCCATATCTTGTTTATTAATTTCTTCGGCTTCTTATTTCTTTACATTATCTGTAGCAAAAATCTCTTGATATCTCGTCTTTTACGACCTCCTCTTTTCCTACTGCCTCTAAAACCTTCTCCTGCTTTCCTTGTAGTATCTTAATAAAGTGCTGCTCTATTGGTATGTCTTTCGCACTTGTTGAGTTTTTTCGCTTTTCCTCTGTACCATCTTCCACAACTCCATCGCTGATTTTATTTTCCTTATTTGCGCTTCATATTCTCCCTGTTTCTCTATCTTTTGTTCCTTAGAATTTTTTTGCACTTTTTCTGTTCTCTCTCCTTTTCTTTCTTCATCATTATTCTGTATCTGATTCTCTGTTCTGTACACGTTCTGTCCCACCACTCCTTTCTATTGCATTCCCCTTCAATTACCTGTTGCCACGTTATTGCTTTTTTAATACTCTGTTCATATACTCTTCCACTACTCCTTTGTACTTTCTCTTCATTCTTCTTATTCTTCTAGTCACCTTCTATAAGTCCCCACAGTGTCCCTTGTTCATAACTGTATCTCCCTTCGTCCGTTTATCTTTCCATGATCTTTTTAGTTTCCCTATTAAATTTCCATCGGTTGGTCTATCCTTGTTCCTATCACTATTTTATTTCTACCAGTGTTTGCATGTAATAAATTACCGACATCCCTCTTTCTCCCGTATATGTGTATTGCCCGCCCCTATCTCCCTTCATATTTTCATTTTGCAAATCAACTGAGGAATACTGTTTCAAACTAATATAGATAACAACCGACTAGCACAGACGGACGGACAGAAAGTTCAAGTGACAAAAATTTAGTCAGTTAGTCCCATTGTCTACCTATTACTGAAAACAGAATTGAAAAATTCGAAACCGTTCGTGAGTTATCATGTACACAGACGCACGGACGGACGGCATTTTATATCGTCGTTTTTTACTGACTATTGCAGGAAAACGTTTCTAGAGTCCTCTGAACTTGACAAAGACTTTACGAATCGCTATAAAGCGTTCTCATTCTCCGAAAGCATTGAAATCTTCGAAAAGGTACAGGGAGCATTTAAGCTTAAGAACCTATGGCCTTCCGAAACCCTTTAAATCCTCTAAAATTTCATGAGACATTTTTCTTTCTGAAACTTTTTTTTATCTTCCCCTCAACATTTTTGCGATTTTGTATATAAAGGGTGTTTAAAAAAAGTCCGATATTTTTGTTGAGAGTATTGTGAAATGCACAAGATAGTGCAGCGAAGCGTACTAGGCCTCATGATAGTAGCTGTAAAAAAAAACTGTGTTGGTTGTTATAGAAATTGTTGTTGACTTGTAATCTTTTGACAATAGAAAAATATTAGAATTGGAACTGAATTTCCTTATTAACTTTGAATTAAAGAAGCTTCGATATTCTACCAATTCTACTGCATTTTTGTTTGGAATCTGCTAATTACAACAATTTTATCCATATAGTACTCATGAAAAGAAGCCAAAAAGTCTTTATAAACATAGGTCCGTAAACTAAGTGTTTCAGAGATAGAGGTTGATTTTGTGTCTTAATTTAAATATTGTTTTTTTCCTGCATTTCACTAAGTGGCTGAATTTTCTGTGTGCAAATGGAAGGAGGACACATAAAGCATGTTAAGCAACGTTGTTAACTTTTGACCTGGGGGAACGCTGAAACCACTTTGCACAATATACATTTTAGCACCTTATGAATTCGTAGACTCAAACGTAAAACATTTCAGTTTATTGTACCTGTTTCAAATCGTTTGATACTTTCTGAAACGGGAGCCGACTAGGAAGCACTTAGGCACACCAGAGGCCTATTTTGCCTATCCTCTTTCCTTTGTAACCCTGCTTAGCCTAAGTTGCTTCACCCGACCCTGTTACAGGTAACTGTCGCCAAAGAGCCGATGTCTTTTCTGATCAAAGCGTCACAGTGACAGACCACATGCTTAGTAGTTTCATCTACCTGCACTTGGGCTCCCCTACAAGCTCAATCTTGTGCAGGTGATAGTTCACCATCCAATGCCCAGTGAGGACTTCGATGATCTTCGTAATCTGGCGTCTATTCAATTTTAGAAGCTTAGAAAAACCCCAGATTTGCCATGATAAGGAGGCCCTGGACTGTCTGAGTCCAGTTGGTTGTTGCCACTGAGTCTGGAATTGACTCGTCATCTAGTCTTTAATAAATCATAAATAAAATGTCATTCACATTCCGGAATTACCACCTTTAGAAAAGCTGATTATTGCAACCCAGGAAGTTCTATGAAGAAGATTCATCATTGCCTCTTGTGTTTCAGCATAAGCTCTTTCAAGATTTTTGAGGTAATTGTACCTACCCTTGCAATTGTTGTAGGTAATCACTTTGCTTCACTGTAAATCAAGTCTTCAAAGGTAATACCTGGTAGGTATCAGCGTGTGAAGGGTTGAAGCTATTCTCAACGAGTCTTATTAATTGTAATGTAGCTGTCCCCTTTTCTACAATTGTCCGGTCATTTAATTCATATGCAAGCTGTCACTTCTGACAACGCAGGAAAAGCTGATACGAATTAGTACCAACGTATTTAGTACTCTTTGGTTGTAGTAATTTTATCAGTTAACCAGTAGACAGACGTCAAAGTAACTAATGCGTTTAATATAAGCATGAAAAGTAAAACGTGTCGGAAAATAGCAAGGTTTTTCGGAAGTGAGAGGAATAAGTATGTTGCCCCAAAGAGAGTGCTTGGCTTTATATGTGGAGTAATTCTAGGATTGGCGTTCTACGAGTTAATACTTGTAGATCTGAATTTTACGGAAAATGCTGCGTTTACAGTAGGAGGCATTATAACTATGATGATTTCAATTGGACTTGCATTCTCCTCCCAAATTCGGTGTATAACCATGCTATCGTTTCCAACTTTCGGCGGGCGAGCGGGTCGAGGTGTCCTGAAGGCTGTGGTCGTGGCGTACATATTATCTGGACCGATTCAAAATCTAAGCAACAACGGGCAGGAGGTGGTAAGGGTGTTTGCGTGCACGACTGCGTTAACATTCAATTTGACTAAGACAAAGTATGAGTTACTGTTCAAGCCGTTTACACAAGCACTGTTTGGGCTCAAAACGGATGTTACCGAGGTGAAAGATACTGTGAGAACTATTCGGGATGTGTCCGCACCGATCGTAGGAGAGGTCGAAGGTGAAGCAGAAATGAAGAAGTTGAAAGAGGAGAATGACTACATTGACTTGGTCAATCAAAACTCATTACGATCGAAAGAAATTGACGATAAGTACCGATCAAAAGGAGAACAAACTGAAGCGGAGCGCTTTGAGAAGATGTACTTAAAGAAAATCGAAATGCGGTGCGAAGACCAATTTACTCGAGCCGCTGAGAAGTGTAGAAACATGTTTCAGAGGGGTTACGATACATGCTACGATACTGTTACTTGGCTTGCTGCCTGGTTGTTGTGTTGGCCTATGAAGTTAACGTTCGTATGCAACATCGTGCAGGTTTTGGGCGGTAAGAGCCGCTGCGATCCATCAAAAGATTTGGATTCTGGCTTTGGTGAAGGCTACACGTACTTGAAAAAATCGAGCGATTCACTGACTCAAAATTTTAAAGACGTAAAAGTCCAATACAAAATTACGCGAATTAAGGAGTTGATTGACGTGAGACAAGCGACCGATACCGCAAAAGCCGTCTTGCATGCGGTGAACGCAAAAAAAGCGTTGTTAGACGAACTCCTGACGCTCCTGAAGCGAATTCTGGCTTTCGTTTTTTTGCGAATTATCGTAAAAGCGCAAAAATACCACGACAGGTACTTACGGGAGATAGAATACGACAACATCTACATAACTAGGTATTTCCGCCATATCGATGCTAGAAGACACACGCAGGAGAAGATCACGCTGTTGCCACTGAAAAAGGTCGAAAGGAGTAAGCTGGTCGATCCGTGGGACTGGAAACCGTTAAAAATGGAACGAGAAGAGCTACTGGGCCAAACCTTAAAGCTACTGTTAGAAATGATAACTGCAACAACCTTCATTCTTCTCGATCGCTTATTTTACGAAGCCCTAGACTTGGTACGCCGACACGCTAAAATCGACTACACGCAAACCGGTCACCACGATCTCATGTTGCAAGTGAAAGGCACGGGTATAATAGCCTCCATGTTGAGATCTGTTCTAAAAGGTTTCAATGTAAAGAAGCGGATCAAAACGGTTCGAAGCAACGAGGCCTGTCTGCCTCAACCGACCGTGTTACCAAATTACTACATTTTCAAGATTTACGGTACCTACTTCTGCGTATGGGTCTTGGTGCTGCTCCAGGCCTATATTCACAGGTTACGACCGGCAATCTGTGCGATTTTCTACAGGAAAAGAGAAAAACGACGCATACTGTACTTATACAACGAGACTCTCAGGAGACGAATCAGTTTCTTTAGGTACATGAAGAACAAGGTGAAGAAATTGGTGAGGGAGCGTCGTCTTCAAGATGATCTGAACATCTTTACTGTGTTGCGTGTACGTTTTCCAAAAGCTTGCAAGTGCCTGCGTTTTTTTGCGGCAGCAAGGCGAAAGTGTTTAATATGTGGGGAACCGGAACCGCGCAAGAAATCAAATCTTCCCGGTGATTTTGAGAAGTGCGCGACACCCACGTGCCATTTCGTGCATTGCGCCGAATGTTGGTACGATGTGGGCAGGCAGTGTCTCGCCTGCGCAGAATCCGGTTCCGAAGAAAGCGATTTTCAAAGTTCCGATGAGGGTGACTCAGACTAAAAAAAACGTAAAAAATAAATTGAGATAGTTTATTGTTAATCTGGTAATTTTTGCGAATCAAACAGTACTTCTCCTTTCCTTACGCACGTGTCGTTCTCTTGAAGATTCTTTTCGATGTCAGCAATTTCTTGCGGGGTGTTTAGATCCTGTTTGGATTTATATCTGGATTTTGGCAGATTCAGATTGGGCTAAAATCACAAATGGTGGTTAGCTTTCTAAGTGGTAATGGATACACTTGTTATTCCCCGGTCCACCAGATCGGTACAGTCCCCACCACCACCCGTTTCCGTAAATTAAAGTAATCCAAGATCAGTGCCATACGGCGCACGTGAGCGACGAAGTAAAGTTTATTGCATGATGCGCATTTTTAATTTCCAACATCGTACTCATGAATCATGACGTTGCATTTCCGTGCGGGCGGCTTAAGAGCTGTGTCCTATCGCAGACTTTAGTGACGGCAAATTAATTTCTTTTACAACCCCATAAATTACAAAATAGAAGAGGTATCTTCGAGGGTATCTTAGTACGAAGTAAAATACCCTCTCCGCACACGTGTTCCAAGCCGTGCATAAATTGATTGACTTTAAACTCAGCGGTATTTAGTTAATTTTTCAACAACGGCGAACCTTGACCTAAGGAGACCTGAGGCCCTATAAGATTCGCGGTTCGTATTTTCTAAAAGGCAATAAGGAGCGATCCGAAGTTATTTTTTCAAGAAGACGACACTGGCGGACGTGAAAGAAATAAAAGAAATTATCAATCTCCAATAAAAGTGTCAAACATAACGCTGTCTGAGGGAAGTTAATGACGAATATCGAGCAAGACTCAGAGCGTGCCGATATTAGTTAATATTTTTTGACTACGATTTGCTTAAGGGGAATTTTGGGGAGATGTATGTGGGCTTTGGTTATGGGCAGTTGTTATTTTATGTTTCGAATGCTCATTATTACTGTAGGTGTTTCGACTATTACTCAAGTCATCCATACAGTAATTACATGATTGATGTAGATTATTTGACAAATTAACGTCATTGTGCAGATGCAATACCAGTCCGGCATGTGTATTGTCATTATAACAAATTAAAACTACCTTTTTGTACTTTTATTTCATACTTAGGTACTCATAAAGTGAAAATGCGTTGTATTTTTGTACGTAAATAACTTTGCTCGTAATTCTTGATCTACAGTAATCGCTTTCAACCTTGGGTACTTGCCTTCAATCGTGTGGAATGGCCCCCTTTGTTGAATACAACCCTATAACACTTCCTATAGGCGGGCTTCGCTTTCACCTTACAGACAACATATATTTTGACATATTAATTAATATTTGTTTGGTTATTGTTGAATCAAGATCAACTAAAAACAACTCGGCGTGATGTGTGGGACCACCCAATATCCAGCTTATGTGAATGTATTCTAATGTTTGTGTGTTTATGTTATGTGTGTCAAATACTAATCTTTAGGAATTCCAGGCTATGATTTGACATTTTATGTACTTGATAATTATTTTCGTAATTATTTTAATATGAATTCAAGGCATTACAAACAATTAACTTTGCTATACAGTTCAATATTAATTTGTTGGTTGGTTTTTTTCTTGGTCAGTTCCTTTTTTCCCAGCCTATTTTTTTCTCGGTAAACAACCATTTTTGGAATTTAATTGGGGGGTAAACATAAAAATTAAAACAACGGAACTTTGCTTTTTTGGTTATTCGGATAGCACATTGTATCTAAGCCTTGTAGTGTGCTTTTGGCACCGGAACAAAATGATCACTAAATGCAAAATTAATGCCGCCAGCGTATTTTCCCAAATTCAATCCAGCAGTTGGCAAAATGGTCGAGAACAACAGAATAACCATTATATTCAAATTTACGCTCGCTATTTTTGAGCAAAACTCCCTGTCCATGAATCTAGCAGAGCAAGATCAGCAGAACACAATCAGAAACATTATGCTATGCGTTTGTTGCAAGGGCAGTATACAATACAGTAACATTGACTTAGGAGTAGACATAGGAATTTGTGTGTATTGTTTTTCCTCATGTCTACTTTTAAATGACAACATTTTTTCTGAAGAACGCCTATTTTATGCAACCCAAATAACTTCTTAAAACAAAGGAAAATCTGTCTGTCATATTAATTAATTTCAATATTATTGCGTTGGCTTCTGCATTTTTATTTTCGTTCGTGTGCGATGTATTCAAATGAAAAAAAAAGTGATTGAATCATTTAATATCTCTTCATCATTGCCTAACAGCACACCACTCTTTACTGTCGCTTTTATAAGTACCTACCTACCAACTAACCTACCTAAAAAGAAAGGATATTCACAGAAATATATGGATTCTTTTAGTAAGGTGCGTTACACTTTTGCTGAAATCGTGAAATTTTAAAAGAAGCATAAAACCGCTCGTCTTAAGCATTTGGAATGCACTAAAGCAATGAACACTACCTCAAAAAACCAAGAAAATGAAAAGTGAACTAACTATAATTAGGTCCTAATTAGGTGCTAATTAAGTGCCCTATCCCCGTATTAAATGCTCCTTTTTTTTTAAATTATTACATGTTCTGTTCCAGGTGCATATGAACTCATCAGAGCACTACCTCAAAAAAACCAAGAACATGAAAAGTGAACTAACTAACTAACTAATTAGTTCACTTTTCATTTTCTTGGGTTTTTAAGGTAGTGTTCTGTTCATATGAACCTGGCAGAACATGTAAAAATAAAAAAAAGGAGCATTTAATTCGGGAATAGGGCACTTAATTAGCACCTAATTATGCAATATGTTTGATTGTGTTCTGCTGACCTTGCTCTGCTAGGTTCAAGGACATCAAAACTCCCTAGATATACACAAAGTACGCCATGTTTGATACAAAAATGCGCGGAAATTTGAAATCAGAAACTCGAAAATTATGCTATGCGTTTGTTGCAAGGGCAGTATACAATACAGTAACATTGACTTAGGAGTAGACATAGGAATTTGTGTGTATTGTTTTTCCTCATGTCTACTTTTAAATGACAACATTTTTTCTGAAGAACGCCTATTTTATGCAACCCAAATAACTTCTTAAAACAAAGGAAAATCTGTCTGTCATATTAATTAATTTCAATATTATTGCGTTGGCTTCTGCATTTTTATTTTCGTTCGTGTGCGATGTATTCAAATGAAAAAAAAAGTGATTGAATCATTTAATATCTCTTCATCATTGCCTAACAGCACACCACTCTTTACTGTCGCTTTTATAAGTACCTACCTACCAACTAACCTACCTAAAAAGAAAGGATATTCACAGAAATATATGGATTCTTTTAGTAAGGTGCGTTACACTTTTGCTGAAATCGTGAAATTTTAAAAGAAGCATAAAACCGCTCGTCTTAAGCATTTGGAATGCACTAAAGCAATGCAATGCAATTGTAAAATCCAGAATAACAGAGCAGAATGCGTGCGCATGAGTTATTTTGGTTGCATAAAATTAGGCGTCCTTCAGAAGCGATTTAGCCATTTAAAAGTACACATAGGGAAAACAATACACGCAAATCCCTAGGTCTAGGCCCTGTGGGATCGGGGATTAACTAGTGTAGAATCTTACCGAAATATTGTCACTCTCGTCATCCGCATCAGGTGATTCGTTGCCAGGTTCCCCGAGGACCTTCTGGTTTGTTAGGCTACCCGAAGAACTGCATAATTTCCCCGTTATGGCCTGTTGAATATTATGCGTTGCTGGTTTTTGTTGAAGTGCGATGCAACTTGTCGGGAGTTGTTCTTTACCGGACGAGGTGGAAGGTTGATGATCCGGAACCGTAGAAGAGATTTCCTGTTCCGAGGACGAATTGCATTCGGTCTGTGTTGTCCAATCGCTTGTAATCAGATCTATATTTTGAATGAACACTTCTTCATCAGTTTCTTTACACATAATTGTGTGATCTGTAGGCAAATCTTTGGAGTTTTCAAACTCGGCGGTCATAGAGTTTAGAGAAACAGAAGCTTGGAATTTTTCTTCTTCTGGTGGTGCACGCGCAAGTGTTTCATGGCATTGAACATCTTCTGCAAGAAAACATTCAATTTTAGCTTGTTCGCCCGATGAATCATTCGCAATTTGTTTTGAATGGGTTGAAGGCGTGGAGGATATGGTGATGCACGTATTACACGCTACTTCTCCAAAGCAATATGAAGTTTTAGGTACCTTCGAATCTGTGAAGGTAGAATGAGGAAAGTATGTGAGGCGTAAAGGTGATGCCTTAGTTTCGTCTTCTAAATATGCTCTGTCTTTAATTCGCGAATTAGCAATTTCTGCTGATTTATCAATTATTTCATCTAGCACATCACCAATCATAACCGACGCATCTTCTTTAACAGTCGTGCTATATTTTCCCATTTCGTCTATCATAACAGCGCACAATTTCTCATAGTCAGGCTTAGTTTTAACGTAGTCCAATACAACAGGTGGATCACATTCTTCCTTTGCACCACGCAACAGTGCACTTTCCTTGATGTCCCCAGATTCTTTAAGTAACTCTTTAATGATATTTTGAATACCGTTTTCAGCCTTTTCGTAGGTTTGGAGTCTTTCTTTTGACAGTAGTTGGTCATCAGTTGATTTCTCGATGTCTTTAGAAATTGAACTGGTTGCCAAAATATCTCCCATTTTAGTTAGGCATACCTTAAACTCCCCCATCTTGGTATCGCAATCACTTCGACTACTGTCGCCACCTAAATGAACCTCTACTTGCTGCTTGGGCGACGTCGCATCGTCAAAATACCTCCTAACGTTTTCTCGGTGCGTCTCATAAAAACGGTCATTGTCCTCGTAATAACTTTGATACTTTTGTTCAGAATCACGAAATGGATCGTTAGCAATGTGCACTTCTACATTACTAACCACCTCGCATCTCGCGAATTCGCCGAGAGGGTTCACGTTTGCGATCTTGCTCGTTAAGCACAACTCTTCATTCAATAAACTTTCCGGCTTACCTTCAAAATTGCTAGTGGCCGACGGAAACGGAGGGTACTCTTTGGGTACTTTGGAAATCGATATTTTAGATGTCCGCGTCATCGGGGACCAACTTCTTTGCTGTATGGTGCTATCCAAAGACTTTACTGAGAAACCTTGTGAGTGGCGGCGATCCTGCAGTGATACTGATTCATCCGAAACTATTGATGGCAAAGTTGAACTGTCGCCTATATTTGTTGTTGTCGAGCTCGAGGGCCACGCCGTTATATCTGACGACAGATTACTGTCTTTTGGTTGACAAAGTATATTTTGCTGGCGATTTAAGTCTCCCAGTGCGTAGCTCAAACTTGACCAGCTTCCGGAATCTTTTCCACTTGGCACTGACAGCCTCATGTTGCACAAACTGTCCTGTACTTCCACTTCTTTGTCCTGCATAAGGCAAGAAGAAGAATATTGCGTTGATACCTCTGCCGTGATAACTATCTTGCAACATGGAACTGATGGTCCTTCATCGTTGCCAGAGTACTGCGTAGACATATGGTTGACTATGCATTTTTGGCATTGAGACGCAGAAGCTCCGGTTTCATCGCGACAATTACGATAGGAAAACATATCGCAATGGCCAAATGCCGCCGCGGACTTCGTATCTTCGTACGTCAGCAAATACTGTGTTGGTACACTGCCCCATGGTGGAACATAATAATTGTCGAAGTTTTTATCATCCCACGGTGAATTAATTTGCGTTGACATATTGCATAAGCTCAGCTGGTCACAGTCTGGCGTCGATGTAAGGATTACTCCACTTCCACGCATCCTAAAATGGGAATTAAGTGTCAATAAAACAGCTGAATACTTGTCCCAAGTACAGTGACTGTATAAAAAGACAGTGTTGCCATATGCTCCATGTCCGCCATGTTTGTCATTGTGCTGATTAATTTAAGCGAATTGGTAGATTTTGCTATGGCTACAATATTACTCCTACCATGGTTTTCAGGTTAATTTCTGCCAATCCGGTGTATTTGGTTAAAACATGGCGGATCCCCCACTACCAATAAAAAATAACACCGCTGTATAGTCAGACTATCTTTATACAATACTTATACACTGTGTCCAAGATAAGGATGGGGATTTCGGAAGATAAGAAGAGGGTTAAATTAGGGAAAAGTTGGGAAATTAAAATGTGAAAAACCAGAAAATTCCGATTATTTCCGAAGATGTGCCAGAAAAAACGAAATTTTGCGATTTTGTTTTTATGTAATTTACAGATACAAAAAATAAAAAAAAAACATTTTCTTATTTGGGCTCTACAAATTGAGATATTACAACGCTTCGTTTCGGAGAAATCATCATCAACCTTATTTTTTATATGGTCCGTAAGAAAAGTACATACTGCAGCATTTTTTATTACGAATGCAACGATGTACGGCACACAACAAAAACAAAAGTTAGAAACTGTTAGTTTCAACAGGATGGTGCACCCCCGCACAACGCCCTAATCGTACGAGAATAGCTATCGGTCATTATGGAACATATGAAATACACTTTTTAACTGGGTTTGCTTTTTGCGCTAAATAGTTGTCAAAGGAAGAAAGTGGTGCATAAAGGAGGCCTGAAGGGGACACGTAGAGGGGCGTGAAGGAGGAGGAATGAGGAGTAAAAGGAAAAGGCGAAAAATGCGGGGAGAAAAAATCATTTGAGAAAGGCATGAACGAGCCGTTAAGTAGGTGTATGAAAAAAACGTGAAAAATACGCGAAGGGTACATGATAAAAACGTGTGACGGGGACATATCTGAAAGAAGAATAGGAGTATGTGAAGAAATTTAAGAGAGGGTGAGGTGAAAAAAGTTATCAAGCAATTCACGTAAACCAGACGTAAAGAAATAGGAAGGAGTCGTCAAGGAGGCATTACACATTCGTGAAAGGTTGTACCAAGGAAGGAAGTTTGAGAAAGCCTGAAGTATGTGGGAAGAGTAGTGAGGAAGTCGCGTAGAAAGAGTGAAGGAGGCGGGAAAGAAGAGTGAAGCAAGTGGACTGTGGCTGTGTAAAGGAGGCGCAAAGGGAGAACAGTGACGTAGCATGACCAAATTGCGCCTTAGGCAAGCTTTAAATTGAGCTCGTTGGTAATTTGGGTTTTCAGTAGGGGAATTGTTTGTGTACCGCTCGAACTAATTATATCAGTTCGCATTCGGAAACACGACTTTTAATCCGGCTCATATTCAATAGCATAGATCCTTGAACTCTAAGTTAGACGAGGCATGACGTATTCGTGAAGGGAGGAAGTCTGAAGTGTGAAGATGATGAAGGCATCAAGGCAGGATGAAAGAGCCATTAAGAAGTAGTTTTAAATGAGGTGTCAAGGATGTATGAAGGATAGCGAAAGAAATCCGTGAACGAGGAAGAACGGAGAGTCCCGAAGGAAGCATGAAGTGAACGAGAATCAGAAGCGTAGAAGGCAGGGTGAACGATACGTGAAGGGTGCACGAGAGGTGTCAATAAATTGTAAGCAAGGTGGGATGAAAACGTGCGAAGAAAATGGGGAGGGTGGCAAGTAGGAGGAAGACGTAAATATGGCATGAAACATTTGTGATGGAGAAGTGAAAGATTTGTTAAGGAGAAGTCTCGCAGAATACGCTCCAAATAGACAAAATCTTCTCAATTAAGCGTCATGTTCATCTATGGATCTTCATGTTAATGAAGAGGTCATCAAGCACAATGGTTAAGGTGGAATTACAAGCTACATTGCAAGTGACTCTTGAGTCCACTAGGCAGTCATAAGATGGAAGTAGAATCGAGCAGCTTCAACAACCGAAGGATGGGCACCTTTCAGTCGAAGAGTCGACCATAAGAAAGACGAAGAACAAACTAATTATAAAAGGAAGTAGAGGAAAGCTATAAATTTGAAACTGCAGTAAATTTCTTCTAACTTTACAAAATCGAAATGTGTTGCCTTAACGTTTACTATCTCTATCTCCTAGTCTAAAGATCGCCAGACTGGGTCTGATAATAAATTTCACTTCGAGTCACATTTCTGCTCTTCCTTTTTTGTTGGTACTGTACGAAAATACAGGCTTGGATAGCTCCTTGTACCGGGTGATTCATTAGAAGTGTAGAAAGTAGAAAGAAAACGTATGAAATTATTAAAGTGGTCTGCGATTAACGAATGAATAATTATGCACCAATTATATGCATTTTTGCGCTGTTGATGTGACGCCTATACAAAACAAGAAAACTATAGATTGATCAAACAAATTCTCTCCTTACCACCTCCTCTTACATTCTGACTCCACTTACGATTACGTTTTGTTGTATAAATATAATCGGGCAATGAACTTCTTTATTTATCTCGACTGCATTCAACCTGGATTTTTACTTTCGTCATCATAATTATTAGAGCACTTAAAAGGACCAAACGAATTCAACAATAAACAGTGAAACTGGTTAATTTTTCGCTTTCGAATTACAGTTTTCATTAACTGAAACTGAAAACGAAAAAAATCCGTATTTACAAAAAAGTTAATGTTAGTATCAAAAAACCGAGCAGTCGCCTCGGAATCTAAAATCTTTTTCTTACGAAGCATATAAAAGTGCCCTAAGTGCTTTTGTTTTTTTCCAAATAATCAATAATAATGCCGTAAAAAATTAAAACGAAAGTATTTCTCTTTTTTTCGGATATCTCTGGAAAAGAGGATCTAAAATGTACAACTTTGCCTCTTATAGTTTCCAAGATAGCAATGCTAACGCATCGAATTTGTAACACCCAGTATAAAGATTTTCAAAAAAACATTTTTGGGAAAATAATAGGCAATTCTTAAGGAAACACTTTTACAAATTTCGTATAGAAAAAATATAACTCGACATAGCCTAGGCTAAACTCAGGAAATGAGACTAGGACCCATGAGGAGAGTGATAAAAGAAGGATAGAGGCGGTAGAAATGTGGTGTTATTGAAGAACGTTGAAGATCCACTGTGTGGACAGAGTGAGTAATGAAGAGGTGCTCAAGAGGGTTGGAGAGGAGAGGGCCTGGATTGGACATATTCTAAGATATTTGCTAAAGAGATTACTCGATTACTGGGGAAGGTACAAATGCTAGGGGCAGACACAGGTTGGGATATGGGAAAGTCCTAAGCAGTGGTTTAGTGTTGTATTTTTAGATGATCTAGAAATTTGCAACTAATTTTTTTTAAATTACTTAATTCCCCTAATTTTCAAGTGGTGAGGGGGGGGGGGGTTAATCTAAGCTCAACGTCGCAGTAAAACATCTAGTCAACCACGTCAAAACCTTCTCCCTTTAACCACGCATGCGCATCCTTGACGATACGATCCGAAGTCCGAAAAATTAGTCAAGACATAGAGGAAATACAATTCCTCTATGGTCAAGATTAGCAGAAGGAGCAAAATATATAGGTTTTGAAGAGGTGTAAACCAAAAACCATAATGGTTTCTTTAGAATACGAAACAGGTTAAATTACACTCACCGGCAGTTATTTAAGTCATTGCCAGAATCTTCACTTTGAATATCGGCGTTCACTGCAGACTGTGATTCACCATCATTGGCAGCTTGATCGTGTGAAGTGTGGTCAATCAGTTCATCCATTTCTTTCCTTATCGCCATAGCTAAGGTGTCTTCGTATTTGTCAGACTCACTACTTGCGCCATTCAAATTTCTGGGGACTTCGACATTATGGAGACGAGTGAAAATCACAGACACTTGCACCTCGTAAATACCACTGTCTGGTCCTTTCTTTGCATACTGAAAAAGAAGGGATACAAACTGAAAACTCACAATCAAAGGCATACGGGCACGTCGTCTGACGCCTTCAGTATGGTTTCGTGTTCTAATCTTTGCGAGTTTACCGCCTCTTTGGAATCGACGAGATACAGTGGCATACTCATGATGTTCAGAACGTTGCCTTTGTTTGTCACTTTTAAGGAGCCAGTGAACACGGTCTGCGAATCAGTTTCTGAAGTACATACCAACGGTTTCGGTTCCTGATATCTGCAAAACCCATAGGTGAGATTACCTGCAGAATCGCAAAGGGCACCTTCCTGGGCTTGAACAACTTAGAAGATTAAGCTCGAGTGTAATCGTCACGTTTTCATCTATCCAATCGGGTAGTCCGACTAGCATTGCCAGTTTTTCCACTTTGGCGTACGCCGAAACCTGTTCGGCAAACCTAGCTCGGTAGCCGTTCTTAGATTGTGCGATTGGTGTCAATTGTTGAGGCAGTATGACACTGTTAGTCTTGCTTTGTGCTGTAAGAGATATTAGTAGAGTAGTAATCCAAGACGGGTAATACCTTTCGGCTTAGGTTTCTTTTTTGCGAAGACCTTTGAGAATTTTCCCCAAATTGTGCCTGATCGCGACGTTTTTCTTGCCAAGTGGGAATTTGATGCAGTATCTAAGTGTTCAGTTGGAGTAGAAGTTTTGGAATTCTGGGGGTTTTCACTGGAATGTGCATTGGGTTACATAGAGCAGCACATACAGCTTCATTTACCGATTCTCCATTGTACTAGAATTTTAAGTTGGGAAATGTTGGTCGCGAGTTTAATTACGAAATGATTAGCTATCAATTTATGTTAACGTGTAATTTATATTGACACATTTTGTGCTTGGTGTCATTTTTCAAAAACAATTGAGGTATACTTAGATTTTCCGCAACTATGATAGATTTGTTTTGCTCGTTGGCCATCTAGAGTTAATTTGAGAACGCTTTTGAGTCCAGTATTGCAAATGAATTTTAGCTGAATCAAATGCACTTTATATCAGAAGTATTTATTAGGAATTCATTAGATTCTCTGCTAAATTATTCCGCAAACATTTCCGTATGGGATGGTCGAAAGAGGTTAATTTTGAGTACAAAAAAATGCTATCATTCTGTGAGAAAATGACCACCTTTCTGTTTAATTTTAAACATTTTAATTCGTGTTAAATCGTTTGCACTTAACGAAATTGACATTTCCTTCATTTAAATGCAGATTTATTCTTGGCCTTCTTAAGTTAATGTAGGATACCGTTCTAATTGTCCTTCTAATGAACTACGAATTATTAAAATTACCTAAAAATGGTTAAGCTCGGATTAAATGCACGATTCAATACATCGCTTCCTTCCATTGTAGTAAATTAGCCCTTGCACCTGCCCTTTAGCTTAACAACTTATTAATAATTCATTTTTCGGTTATCCTTAACATATCTTTGACGTCTGTAGGTAATCATTTTCTGGACACTCCCTACTCTAACGTGACATACATTGATTTCGTAAATTTAATTGTTAAAAATTACAATAGCATTTATTAACAAGTAAATGGGTAAAATAATCCATAAGGAAGAATTGTCATAAGTAAGCAAGTGGCGTTTCTACATTAAATGGAAATAAGGATACGCCGAGTCTCTTGAACCGGATTTTGCTAGTGCTGATCTTGAAACTAATTCCATAACCTCAATAGCCAACTGTTTCCATTGAAAAGGATTCCGGTTGGTAATATCTTGACATTTCTTCTTCTTCCTCTCGGCCCCAATTGAACCAACATAGCCACCTTCTTTAGAGAACATAAGCAGTTGGGCCTGTTGAACTAAGGCAAGTTGCGTCGCAAACGAGAATCTACTCTCCTCTAGGAAGTTAGCGTGGGTAGTGCAAGCTAAGGGGCTCCAAATAGAGATGGGTTTCATAGGATGCGATAGCGATGACGTCCTGCACTTTTCTTGTAATGCAGTCCATGATGGGTCGATTCGCCAACATAAGCAACGAAACGCACCATCCTTGTCCTGTAAACTTTAGCATTTATTTGAGATTAGCTGGCATACCTAAAGTGCCATCTCTCGGTGGATTCTTTTGCGCCAGTCTAAACATGGATTAATTTTTACTTCCTTTTCCGGCACGATTCTCTTTTGACAAGCACGTTGAAGTAACACGTTGGAGCGGAGGCACAAATTATTTAATAGTGTTGACCTTTTTCGTTGAGCTTAGTGCTTGTTATTTAGAAGCGAGATGAGGCATTTTGTCTCTTCTTTTTGGAGGATATATATTGGGATTTTAACCGCCATTTGCTAATCCTTTTTCTTCTCGGACGTTTCTGGAATCTGCGCCGTTCACGAACTTTGATTTGAGTTAATCGTCGCTGTATACTAGAGATTTACGAAAAAATCTTATTGTGTAGAGGTTTGTTCATTCCTTGTGATTCAACGAGAATTTACATGTAGGGTTTTCTATTTTGTTGGTTTCTCCTGTTTTCGTCTGTTGTACGCTAAATTCTTAAGTACGAGGATAATTCCAGGTCAAGATAATGACCACGCCTAAAAACAAGATTGTCACCGGTTTCACATCACACCATTTGGGCGATCGACAACTGCTATCAGCCGGAATGCGCACTCGAGGGCAAGGTTAACCGCTTCCCCAGGAATAACCTAACCCACACCAGCTGGGACGGATCAGAAATCAATGGGTCAATAACCAACTATAATAGAATTCATGCGAATCGTTATAAGTTATCACCTCTCAAAGGATTTAGCTAAAATTTAATTGTGAATCTCATTAGTGGTTCACAGTTTTGCCTCTTTAAAGATAGATAACTGTAATTAATTATCTCTGGGTTCTGAATTCTGGACTACGATAGGGTCTCGCGTACCTGGCCTGACTAGAGTCGTCCAACCCTTCAATGTCATTCAAGCCATCCCTCACGTGAGATGAACCTTAGGATGGTGGAATAGTAAGCGGCTCTAATCGTAGCCATATCCGGCCTGGATACCCATAACATACATGGTCTCAGTTGGACAAGAGGAGGAGAAAGTATGCGGTGTGCCGTCTCGTCATCAATGTAATTCTCTATAAGATGCAAGATCCAACATCATGTTCCACCCTGTGTTGGGTTTGGGGGTTTTAAGTTATTAAGTTGTTTACAGTTGCAATGTAAGTGGAAGAGCTGGATCTGGACCATAAAACACATGTTTTTTTTAGCTCAAGGGTGTTGCTGTTTGTTACTTGCTCTGGTGCATGGTGACATTCGAAAACCAATCTACACGTAATTTTACAGTGACTAATTACCTGCAGAGCAGCCTTGCTGTCACTGGAGATTCGTAGGTTTGTTTCTTTATGTTATGCTTAAGAACTTTTTTTTGCACTGAGCGTTAGTCCTACCAACTCTGATTGGATACAGTAGGAAGTGTGCCTAGTGCCTAGTGGTTGGGCGATATAGCGTAAATGTTCCTTCCATTGTTGTAGATCGATCCGTGATCCATGTTTGGTTGGGATAACACGTCCTCATCAAGAAAATATGTGTGAGTGGCCCATCTCAATACCTCTGCTACTCAACAGCTCCTTATTTTGCAGAGGAAAGGATGTCAGAATGGCCTGCTCTCTCACGTGGACATCTATAGTGGAGGCAGATCCAGAAGGGCCTCCATGACGACTGTGGGAGTTGTTCTCATCGCACCTGTTCAAGCAAGCGCTACGGTTGTGGAGAGTCGGGTTGTAGGCCACCAGAAAATTGCTCCATAGCAGAGCATATGTCTTATCACGGGAGTGTACAGCCACAAGACAGCTTTCGGGGATGGCCAGCGGCCGAATTAACTTCAACCTGGGAAAACATGATAAGATCAACATTGGTACTATCCCAGCTCGTTTGAATGGACATCCTTCCGGCGCTGTTATTTCCAGACCTCCATAGCTTCAAGTCGAAGGTGAATTGGAATCTTAACCGTTCATGAATTAAATAGCTTTAGACTTGAGATCCACAGAACCATACGTTGAACCAAGGAAACAGGGCAGTGCAATTTCATAGAGTAGGCAAATTCTAATGCCTCCGTTTTTCGTTGGTAAGGCGGCAGATTTCGACGTAATGTCTTTAAAGCATTGTGGGCGTAAGCGGTCCGTCCTTGGGCTGGAACTGGCTGGGAAGAGTTGATCCCCTTGTTTATTTCAGTATCCAGCAGAACGAGTTCGTCTAAGGTGCCGTTTGGAACGGGATTAAATAGAGCGTTCGGGAAGGAGCTGGATGTTTGACCTGCAGCGCTTAGAATGTCGAGTGGGAGCAAAGCTTGCGGAAGAATTGAGAATCCTAGCTGCCCCTCTTATATTAAAATGCTTCCACCTTCTTTCCTAAGAAAAGCTGTTTGGAAGATTTCTTGCGAGACTTACAACTGCTATAAGTAATTACGAAAGCTGGATATTTTCTTTTATTTTTGCGATTAGGTTAGTGGTTCCGTCTCACGTATTAAAAGATTTGAATGTGAAAAGGAGTAACTCTCTTCAATTGTTTTGTTAATGAATGGACTCAATTTGCCGCTACTCGGGCGCCTTTCGGGGTCCAGGGGATTGTCCTGATATATCTACGGTGCGGTTGCAGTTTTTCAGCACAGCTTCTCGGATCTTGGGTTCGTCGGAGTTGTAGATATCAATGAGTATTTGAAGTCGGCCTGGGTCTTTGAAAGGGTTCTCTTTATAAGACAGGAGGAAGGGATAGTGGAGACGAGCTTTGGGATTGTGAAGCATTGTTTGAGATGAAATTACGTAGGGGTTACAACGCCAAGTGATATCGGTGGTGCTGAGATCATTGATATCATCATCTGATATCATCTGACGCAGACCCCATGGACCCATTTTGAGTACCTTTTACGTTGCACCATTGTTATGTCATCATGTGGTTTCCTACATGAATAGTAAATCTTTTCAGAGTATTTGAATGTGGATCTTGTCCTTCTGGAAAATTGTGGATCCGCTGAAGAAGTAGATCTTTTGCAATCCAAGTCACTGGATGTCGTCACCTTTGTCGGAAAAGAGTTTCTTGAACTATAAAAGGAAACGATACCAGGGAGAACGATAGTCGAGCCTGTAACAAAATGTCGTACCTATCCCAAAATTATTTTCGGTTTCTCAAAAGCGTTAGTTTTCTAAATAAGAGCAGTTTAATGCAATTTATTTGAACACATGTTGACCAACAAATACCGAAAGAGGTGAGTAATAGGATTAGGTGGACGAATGTATTCAATACACGCAACTTGTTTTAAATGATAACGCGTAATTTGGAATTTATTGCTATCAGTTAGGCGGTGACCGGGGTTCGAGGTGTTTGTGTCGATATCGTACCGTTTGACTAATTTTCGCGATGTTAATTAATTGCAGTGCATTAAACTGTCCACTTATTGTTTTTGGTAGGTGTGCATGGTCGTGATTTAGTCCCATATTCAACCCAAGGAAAACGCGGAAACATTTTTTGGAAATTTTGAGGTAAGCATTCGTTTTGATCGTAGGCTTGAGCAGAAATGGAAAATTTTCTATTTTATATGTGCACCTGAACATTTATTAAAATTAAAAATAGGTTTAAAATTGGTAGAATTACATACGTCCATACGACTGCTCACGTATTGTGGAGGAAACTGTTGCCTACTCGTTTTCCAATCCAAAAAGTTATAAAACGTTTCACTGAACCACAGAAATTATCTTGTGAATTTTATGTCCAGAATTTTTTTATATGAAACCACCGACAGCGATAAATTTTCACTCGCCCAAATTATGGCTGTAAATATTTAGCTGTTGAAGCTGCTTGAAAAATAGCCATTTGTACATTTACCAAATGATTATCTACCTCACACGTCACTTTTTTACTTATGAAGATTTCCCTTTAAGATTTTAACCATCAACGCTTCTAGTAACAATAAACTTATCGTATATAGTGTAAATTAAATGTGCGCATGCGCGACTTACGCAACGTGAGCTTTCTTATTTATGGAGATTTTTTTTGAAATTTTAACTATAGATGACTCTAGTGAAGCTGTACTGCTGTAGTATTTCAAAACACCCTCTCGATATCTTAAATAATAATTGATAATAATAATAATAAATGACTAAAATGAAATTTAATTCGTGGCGGGTAAGAATGGTTGCGGAATGCGTTTTTCGAGGATGTGATGGGACACTTTGAGATTTAATTAATTTAATTATTTAATTATGATTATCCCTTGCATCGAACGCACCCGCTAGACCATTGCACTGAATATTGAGTTTGGGTTTATAGTGTTCGACTCCAATTCAGGGACCGCAAAGTGAACGAAAAAGTTTTTCGCCATGAATTTATTTTTTGAATTTAAAGGGGGGGACTCTGCCAGATGGTTACGTGTTACGTTGATCTAATACTGATTAGAATTATAAAAAGTACTTCCGCTTGAGTCTGGGGTCGAGATCTCGGCAGGAGAAGATTCTAGAAAGTTTTCTCTAATGCCTCATTTCATAGAAGAGCCGCCACTAATCAAGGTAGAAAGAAAATTGTTTGAAATTACGCCAAATTTGAGCAAAATCGTTACTTATTCAGTAACCTTGCCGGGATAAGCGTCAGTACACATTTAGTTTTTTTTAGTGAAATTTGTACTACTATCTAACTGAAATATAAAAAAAATATCTTAATTATGAGTATTGAATTGTAATTATTGATACAAATAATGTCGGGGTTAAATTCTGTAACAGTAGTTACAATTGTAGATAAAGAACTTCGGGTTCGTGGCTGTATCTTCTTGCACTTATCTTCGTCTCCGTTGTAGTACGTTTGGACAATACCTTTCCTAAAAATTCATTAGCAAAATATTCAGAAAATTATATACTCGAGTATGTTTTCAGAGTTTACGCAACTCAGTGCTAGGGTGCTTTTAAAATAAACATGTTTACTACCTTTCTTAGGCGCCATAAGTGTCATGAAAGCTACAACAAGTTATTTTAAATTCAATACATTTATTATGATTAAGTAGCGAAATCAAACCAATGCTTACGATCCTGTAAAAGGATAAAAACCCAACTCCTAGCTAAAATAAAAAATATCCCTTCCGGCCAAATAATTAAATATATTTTAGTAAACAATGTAACGAGTAATTCCAAATAACCAAATAAAAATTATTAAATAAAGCGTTCATTTCTACGCACGCAGATTTACCCGAAACAGATGCAAGAAATAAAGTCAATGGTCTGTACATTGTCGCCTTGAAAGTTCCTGACGTGGACACTGGAGCAAGTTTCAACTGCGTGTCATCTGCTCCTGCCGGCCGGGTCGACGAAGTACAGCACTCGCCTCTTCTATATATGGGATTCATTAAAGGTTAGCTGTCTTTCTTTTCCATTTTTAAAAGATAAATCACTTCATATTGCAAAGATGCTCGCTGTAGTCGCCGTCGTTCGTCTAATCGTTGCGGCTGCGACGCGAGTGGCCCGAGTTCGGTTCTCGGCCGATACACACTTTTTTTGAAATTTTATATTTATGGACCGATCATGATGAAATTTTAACAGTAGCACCTTTCAATAAAGCCAAATCGCATGTATTATTATTATTAAACATATGAAATCCAACGTGCGCGCATGTGCGGAAATAACTCCCTTGTTTCTTCTTTCAATAAAGGGAAATCGTTTAATTATATGAATTAAACTTGTGAAAAGCTACGTTCGCGCATGTGCAGAAGTAATTTCTTATCTTTAGACCGATCTTACTGAAATTTTAACAGTAACACATTTTAATAATGGCAAATCGCTTGATTATATTGTTAAACATGCAAAAAATTGCTTGCGCAAACCATCTTTGTGGACTGCTCTTAATGGAATTTTAACAGTAGCCCTTTTATAAAAGCAAATCGATCGATTATATTAAACATATGAAGAGCTACGTGCGCGTATGTGCAGAAGTAACTCTTTTATTTGTGCACCGATCGGTTATCGGTAGTAATTTTTAATAAATGCAAAATTCTTTCGCGGAGAAAAGTAGAGCTCATTTCTATTTAGCATTTCTAGATGTTGCCAGATTAATGCTGATCGTTGATGTAGAATGACAATATATTCCTATAGCGATCTATTGATATCTGTGATGCATCTTAGTTCTCTATTACAGATATACCACAGGGTTCGACGCTTCGCTTGATTCTTTTTAATGTACCTGGTGACCCAATAAGACTGTTCCTCGGCCATATCTCGGGAAACGTTCGTCGTATGACTTAGGGGTAAAAAAAATTATGGGGTAAATCGGTTATGAAGAATCACTGGAAAATATTTTCAAGTTCTAAAAACAGGGCGTAACTACCATCTTAAATTTTAAAATTGCATTTCTATAAATTTCGCATAATAAACTAAACATTCTTTTTTCACATTTTTAAAGAGAACCAGTTTACATATCATTTTCGTAGAGACAAAAACTCAGTTATTTCAAAAACAAAGATGGTGTGGGGGGTTTGACCATACCAAATTTGTTAAAATCGGTCAAATGGTTAAGAAGTTAAAGCAGGTTATTGCAAAAACAATTGAACGGGGCATTTCAAAAACAACACATCATCTTTGTTTTTGAAATAACTGATTCTTTGTTTTTACGAAAATGAAAGATAAACTGGTTCTCCTTAAAAATGTGAAAAAAATTTTTTTTAGTTTATTATGCGAAATTTAAAGAAAATGCAACTTTAAAATTTAAGATGGCGTTACGCTCTCTGTTGGTCATATTTAGAACTTGAAAATATTTTCCAGCGGTTCTTCATGACCGATTTACCCAATAATTTTTTTACCCCTGTCATATGATGAACGGTTCTCGAGAAATGGCCAAGGAACAGTCTTATTGGGTCACCCGGTACACTATTCGATTCAAATTATTATGCGAACTGAGCATTTTTTAAGTCTTAGTGTCACAGATGTAAAGGTGCAAGGTAAATCAGATGTTAATGATTAATATTTGCAAATTGAGTTGGACGAAAATGGGTACAAAATTCCAAAGAAGTGAACAGTAGGTACTTGGACCGTCAGCTGAAACGGTATAAAACATAAAAGTATGATAATATTTTGGTGGCCCCCTCTAAGATATCGTATTTTGTCGATACCTTCACCTTCTTTGATTAGTGCAACCCGAAACGTGCCACCGAACGGAAGTGCACTGTGCGGCGGGGTCGAACTCTTCGAGTGCTTCGTGTTTCATATGTGCACATACGTTAAATGGATTATTACAGTGTTTGCCAAACCTGTACCTCAACTTAACTCGTATTGTACCAGGTATGGATGCAATTTGCATTTTATGCGCGAGCATTATAATTAAACCCGCATTTAAATTACGCGCCTTTGGCAATTAAACGCCGCGCGAACTGCGCAATGAAAAACTATTTGATTATGCCGGGAAATTTGACGAATTTGATATTTCCAAGTTTTAAATTATTCGGATAAATTTTTTTCTTCAATTTTAAGAGGGAAGAAGTTACAGATCAATTTTCTCTTCTGTTCTTAAAAATTGAGTACAAAATTGATACATATAGTCGAGGGGGTAACCACTTACGGAAAATTTGTGACACGATTGCGAAAATAAGGGATTTCGATAGATTGCGGAAAGTTTCATGCGATTGCGGCGATTGCGGAGAGATTGCGGCGATTTCAAGAGCTTTGTAGCGATTTCTTGAGATTTCTATACCACATTTTTGCGATTTCTGAACATGTATACATGTCAAAAATAATGTTTTGATTTATGTAAGATTAAAAATTAAACAAAAACATTATCGTTAATAGCAACACAGTTTTGAAGAGATTATTTTCTTTTTTATTTGAAAAGAACAAGTTAACAATACATCACGCTTACAATTTACAGAAAGTCTTTTAATAGTTTTTGAGAGATTTTAAATTCCTTCTCAATCTGTATTTTTTGGTGCCGTTGTAAAATAAAAGGTTCATTGCCCAATAATGATATGGGGCCATAAAAAATAAATTTATTTTCGACAATTTGTATATCTTCATCTTTGTCTTTCGGCCAAACATATGAATCTAAAACACATTTTAAAAATTTAATTTGACATGTATCATCGTTAAATATTTCTAGTACTCTGCCAATATACCATGATCTAAGATAACACACGGCGTAATAGTTTTCTGCGCTTATATCAATTTTTGTGTTTATTGGCGTTGTATCGTCGGTGGCATCTTCCTCGCCAAAGCTTTCATTTTCTAACTCACTCTTTTCTGAATATCTATCGCTTTCCTCGTCAGTCTCTGCTTCGCTAATAGCGATTCTCTTTTTCTTTCGTTTTGTTGAAGTACTCTTTGTTTGTTTTTTTTTATTTAAACTGCTAGATGCAGTGCTTCCACGAAATCGAAGCAAACGATCGCTAGAAAGACGGTTTGTCTTGATTGAAAATAACCAGCAAAGTGTTGACTTCTTTACTACCACCTCCTTTCCATTTACTTTAATCTTGAGCATATTACGAGGCAATGTTTGATTGCTTTTATTGTATTTGGCACTGAAATCTTGAATATTTAGATCACCAAGATCTTCAGGTTCCTCAAAGATACCTCTTTCTTCATCAATATCATCTCTATCTTCAACTTTTTCTTCATTTAATAATAATCTTGGTAAAATTTGTCGCGCAAATTCTTCTAATTTTGTAATATCGTTTTCTACAAGTAAGCTTAGCGTTTCATAACTTGAGTTTATTTTCGTCTACTCGTTGCATTTTCTAAAAAAGGAAATAAGCAATAATTTAAGTTATTATCAATTGTTGTATAGGTGCGTGCAATGTTATGAATTTATTTTATATATTATAATTAAAAATTAATTTAGTTAATATTGAAATTATTTTTAATTATTTAAACGAACTAATAAATTGAGGAGTGTTTAGCAAAAACAGCGTTTGTCCAAAAATAAAAAAAAATCAGGAGATTAAAAAAACAGCCTAAGTGATTATAGAGCGGATGTTTTAAAAAGCTAATTTTACAAGTTGGCGTAGTTTGTGCAGACAAACATATTTTTTGTGATATCAGCTGAAATTTTGGCCAACTTTTTGAAAGAAAAAAGAAAAATCCATGGATATATGCGGTTTTTGGGGGAAAAAAAGTATGTCATTTTTGCAAGAATCAACCATATTTTAAATGGCTATATCTTGGCAGCTATGATGTTTTTGTGGGATTTCATTACATGTATCGATGACAATCACTTTCCAGCTCACCGTAGCGCGATAAACTCATTTTCCGTAAATTTGGACTTATGCTGTTTTTGCTAAATACTCCTCAATTGTAAATATGTGTTATTAAACTTACCGTTCTTTGCAAAACAAATCACTCGTAAATGTTCCACTCCACTGTAAGTTAGTTATCTAATAACAACAATAACAACGTAATTATTAAAACACACTGTAAAATAAGATCTGGAATAAAACAAAAAAACGTGTTGTCGTGTCGTGTGGCCGTTGACGCCTTACGTTAATAGCGAGGTTAATAGTTAATCGCGACTTTACCGGAAACGACACGACCGAGAAACCGACAAGTTGCCGATTTAGAATAATCACGTGTTCGCCAGATGATATATTTTGACGAGTTTTAAAAGATTTCGGTGATTTCGAAAGGATTTTGACGATTTCGAAAGGATTTCGACGATTTCGAGGGATTGCTGCGATTGAGAAAAGATTTCTTAGCGATTTCGGGGATTGCGAGGGGATTTGTGACACGATTTCGGGAAGTGGTTACCCCCTCGCATATAGTATCTGAAGACGGAAGTGTGTTATGTAACAATCGTATAGAAACATAAAAATCTGATTACTATTCGAAGGTAAATTTAGTCAAGACAGGTCAGGGAAGTATTTCTTGTCTGGAACAACAGGTGTAACTCTAAAGTAGCAGTGATTGGACGCACATGGTGCTGCAGCTGCCGTTGTATCAGATTCTTCCATTTCGCTTGATGTTCACCTGGCGTTCTGCTATGCACTAGTTTGCTTACGGCTTCGACTGTCCTTGTTTTGTTTATTCAATCTCTAGTTGACCACCTTTAATAAACGTGTTTGGAATGTAGAATTTAACACTTATACTTACAAAGAATTAAAAAAAACTCTTAATTGTGCTAAGATATTGAAGTTATCGCTAAAACCACTTTCAATAAAGCAACCGGCTGCTCTTCTGATTGGGCATTTAAAAATTTCGGACAGATGTTCAAAAGAATCAGTTTAGTGTGTTTTTATATGGAATTTGATGACCCGCGTGGGAAGCGAAAGTATAATGCTGTATGTGAAGAGTGTCTTTCATTCTTTATACTCGGTCGTTAAGAAAATGAAAGGGCGCCGAACAAACCCAAAATAAAACAATGGGCTCTACTGTGTATGCATGCGCACGATTTGCTATAAGATGAAAGACCTCAAACAATAAGAAGTTTTCCCTTTTTTTTGAATAACGATTTAGCCCCAAAGATTTCATTCACAAAACTTGTAGAGCGTACCAAAAACAGTTTTTTTTCCGCTTGTCATAGTCTAATAGATGCGTGTTTTTTTACAGAGCACAGTCAAATATAATGCGTTGAAATTTATCTAGCCTGACGTTCTGGCACTGTCCACGGCGACACAAAAACCTATAGCGTGATATTAAAGACAAATGTTTCATTAAGTAAATGTGTACTTATGTAGGGCTGCGAAAATTCGTAAGTAACGTTCCAGACAAACAATTTATTAAACTGACGTCCCCTCCTGTCCATTTCGATGTTAGCCCATGAAATATTTGCTTTCTAATATGATTCAGCCACCATCATCCCGCTTTCTGCAGCTGTGACATCCAGAGATTGCAATGTTAATTGTATCGATCAAATTTGTTTCTGTTGTATTTTCTTTCGTTAATGCTATTATGGTATGGTGGACGTACTCGATTAACGCACCCTTCGTTTTTCACATCTCTTTTTCACTAGAGCCTATCGTACAGATAATTTCCATGGAAACAAATGCATTCATATAGGAATTTATCTATGGGATAAGTTTAGCTAATAATACATTTGATTAATTTTAATAAGTAAATGTATCTACTGAATTCATATAATACAATATTCATAAGTAAAATATTTCTTCAATGGGGATGGAAGGAGGTAACGTTCCCATAATGCTGATTACGTTTCCTCTCTGAACTGCTAGAGATAGTTATTGTTTAGAGCGTGTATCCCCTGTGTGTTGAACTAGTTGGTTTCCAATCAAATCGGTTAGGTTTTTAGCTTCAATTGAAAATGGTCCTAAAGTCTCAACAGCAAAAGGCACAAAAAAATTAATTGGTAACAAATGTTCCTATTTACTAACTCGCAGCAGAGGCAGCAGCTCCAGGCATTGTTGATGTGGTTTGAACATATGATGCTAGCATCCCAGACTAAGCATTTACCCTTTGACCAAGGAATCATACTCATTCCTTCGGGTCTTGTCCCGTCACTCCGAAACAAACCAACAGTGGTTCTAAGGTCGAGGGTATGAATCACCTGTGACTAATGCTCAGAATGCCGAGGAAATCTTCCTGCTGATTTTGAACAGCTTAATCCGTGTCTTCCTGTTTCATCTACTTCTGCATTACATTTGCATATATAGGGGCTACAAATTTTGCTCCCTAATCGAAGCGCAACTGCAATACGGGGATCTCATGGTTCTCCAGGAACGTAGCAATGTTAGGAGATGGGTAGAGTTTTGAGCCATGATCCAGATTAGGTAGCCTGTAGAGCAAGGAACCGAGCAGAATCGGAGGGATTATGAAAATTAAGGTCAACATCAATCTTGCTTCGAATATTAATTTTGTCCCAACTTCGTGGAAATTGTGGGATAGCAGGGCGAATTTCATAATTTGTCAAATTAGACGTAAAAATGCTAAATGGTTACAAAAGGTCCGGTGGAAGATTTTATTTTTCCGACTTGTTTAAATAGTCAAGAGAAAGAAAAAAAAACAAGTTTGCCAATGCGACTGACGTCGGGAGAAATTTCTGCGGTCAAAAATCTGCAAAAATGTCTCACCTTTTTCGGTTTTTCTAAAATAACTCACCAACTTGGGTAAAATCATATTTTATTCAAAATTGTAGAGTATAAAAGTACTCACCTCTAATTTGATATTTTATATGCCCCTAGCTACTCGTATTTATCAAATCGGTTAGACAAGTCAATATATCCAGTTTCGAGTTATTATTTAATTTTTTAAAATAGACTGAAAAATTTAAAGATCAAATAAATAAATTTAGGTATTTATATGTATGTTTATTCCTACCTAATCTATTTATGTAAATTTGTTTT